CCTCAAACCCCAAACCCCAACACCCCAAACCTCAAACCCACCCCCGTTTCCCAGCTGTAGAACCGCCTTTGACCACCAGGTGCCATGAGCGAGCCACTGAGCTCAGCGCGCACGCGTGCTCTCCGCCGGCATGTGACGTCATTCACTGAGCTCAGCGCGCATGCGTGCTCTCCGCCGGCAGGTGACCGCAGCGAGCTGCTTGAAGCGTCGCGCATGCGCAGTTTCTCCGGCAGGCGGCGGCGGCCACTCAAAAGCCCCAAATCTCCGCGTTCGGGCTCGTTCCAGCGACAGAAACAGCCGGACGCGCGGAGATCTCTGCTTCCTCGTGTACGTCACCTCTTCTGACATCTTATATTTGCATTTGAAAGCCCTAAAATTCTATATTCGGGATTTCTTTTATTCTAAAGTCCTGTATTTGCTATAGCAGATACGGGGGGTTATTTTAAAGTCAGTTTTTAAATAAACTACCACTGTCTGTCAATAGATATAAAAATGAAAAACTCTGCAGTTTCAGTATTTGGCACGCACGCTCACCCTCCCTATGGATTTTCAGACACTTTGTGGCTGTAACCTCCCTTTTTGGGAACTGACCGCCCGTGTCCCCGCACCCATCGCTCCCCGGCGACATTGGGATGCCCCAAATGACGTCACGAATCCCTCAGACTCAAACTCCCGGCAGCCACCGCGCGGGCCTCGCTATGCACTTCCTGTCCGTTACGTCATCTCTGTGCGCCGCGCGCGGGCAGTGCCGCCGCCATGGTGCNGAGGGTCTCGGGCTGCACCGGGGCTGCACCGGCCCGCGGACTCCTCCGGCCCTGTCAGTGCATCTGACCCCATTAAAATGTTACCTCTACACTGTCCATCTGCTGCTTTCTCCAGAGTCTTCTCAATCAAAGTTCACTGTTGCCAAATTTAGTGGATGAAAGAGGTTTTGGTGCTCTAGTGCAGTGCAGGACCGTTCCAGAGGAATGTGCAGCGCTTCCTAAGCATGCCACAGGCTCCAGGTGCTCTGCCTGCAGTCGTGGCTTGTCCTCTGTCAGCTGCCCTTGGCCTGCTCCCCTTGTCAAGTGTTTTGAGTCCTGGCTGGGTTTACTGTAACAGAGCAGTCCAGAGGTTCAGGGGAGGCCTGGCACAGACAAATGCCAATGGAAGTGCAGCTGGTTTTCTGTTTACTTTCTTCAGAGAGGTTCTGGGCCTATTTGTTCATTTAAAAGCAAAAGAGAAATATTTCAGTCTCATGTAAAAAGGAGCTGAGGAAGTGAGCTACAAGTCCTGTTATTTAATCACATATTTGACCCTGTTCCAAGAAACAAGAAACCCATCAAAGTCTCTCCTACTTCAGATGCACCCTAAGCTTTTTGGGGTTCCTTTGCTGCAACTCTTAGATGATTCTACAAATACCAGGGCAAGACAAGTTTCCAGTGTTGCATCTCTATAAAGCTGGTAGTGTAACCAGCCCAGCAGAGGATGAGTTGACAAAATATTTTAAGAAAAGGGCCTGGCTTGCTCTCACAATACTGAGAAAGAGTGGTTTTATTTCTGCTCATGGGTGAAAGATGAGGTGAATAAACAGCTGTTCTTGGAAGTGACTGAGGCTCTGAAAAGTTGTGTTGCTTTTCTATTACACCTCCCTTCTATGCATTTGATATGTTCAGCATCACATTTTCTATAAAATGGTAAGTGCACTCTGGTGCACTGGCTTCCAGAAAATTCCCCTCTAGATCTCCTTTTCTTGCTCCAAGTGGAAGGTCTGCATCAGCAGTGTTTTTCTTACCATAATCCAAAGGTATCACACAGCTTTTCCTTTCTGGAGCTTTCTCCTTTGAACACAAGGTCTGTCTGTAATGTTTCTTTCATGACACTTCTGTGGAGCCCTGGCTTTTGGCCCAATTTAAAAAAAACGCAAACAAAACCAAAACAAACCCCACATAACACCCCAGCCTTACTTTGTTATTAAATAAAGCATCCCACAGTTACCCACAAGGCAGTAAAATAATTGTTTTCACGCCCTTTCCCATACTAAGAGCTCTGGGGCTGCCTGCAGTGCAGGAGGGTGAGGGACTATTGGTATCACACACTAATTTTGCATGGCACAGTGGGAACAGGAGGTAAATGAAAAGTTCTAAGAGGAGAGTCTGGAATTTCCTCAGCTAATACCCTCTTCACTGTCCATGGAAGCCTGTTTCTTCTTATTGACTAAATAACATTTCTAGATTTATAAACTCTTCCATGTAGGTCAGAAGAACAGTTTGTGCAGCAATGCAGAGCCTCTGGGCCACCAACCCCAGCCTGCTGTGGAAGCAGTGGGGCACAGTACTGTGTACCAGGACAGGAAAGCTCAAGCTCTAAAAAAGAATAAAAATAGGAATGCTGGGCATATAAGCATAATTCTCAGCTGCTGTGATGCTGACAGCAGATGAAGGCTGAGAACAAATTACACTGAACATTTCTAGTACCTTGGGAACAGTGAGAAGTGCAGGGCTGGGAAAAAGAATGTGTCTGAGGCCTGGAATTTGGCAGAGAAAAAGAATTGTAGGTACTTATGAGCACTGAATGCCATTTACACTTTGGACTGAACCTGCCTTTCAGAAGATCATCTGATACTTTTCTCTGGAGCCGTGAAGAGCCCCTGTTGTTTAAGGGGGCTGTGGGTAATAATGGAGTGTGTAGGGATGTAGGTTTGAGGGCATGTTGCTGTAAACACTTCACTGAATACTTCACAGCAAGAGCTTGGGAAAAGGAGCAAACATTTTCCTTTCTTGGCAGGAAGAAGCATTGTTCCAACTCAGCTGTATTCCATCCCCTATTCCCCAAAGAGTTGTGTGGGCTAAAAAACCATAACTGTAGTAAATCAAAAATAACTGAAAGGAATAGGCATAAAGCAGAAGCAGAGTAGGGGATCATCAGGCTGGCACACAGCGAAAGCCAGGCTTGAAGTAAGCTATGGGTGAAGCTCAATCCTCCAGCACAGTAATTCTTCACAGCACTGACAAGAATACTGTTACATTCCTCATGTTTAAGTAGCTCTAAGTAGTTTAAGCTTGGTTAGCACCATACTCACACAACCCAAAATCTTCATTTCTGCTCTGATGCTGTGATTTCCTCTGCTGGCTGTTCCACTGGCTATTGCAACAAGATTTGTTATCCTTTTTTGAGAGAAAGCTATCCCTGGATCCTTTTTTTGAGAGAAAGCTATCCCTGGATCCTAGAAGCAAGAACAAAACAAACAAACAAGCTTATGTACATGGTTGCTAATGCATCACCCCCACTGCAGACTCTCCCCAGCCTGCAGACTGCTACGCTGGGCGTATCTTGCATCTGAATTCATCTCATTAATGTTCCTCATTGCCTACTTTCTTCCTGCTCCCTGGACTTCCATGTTCCACACAGGATGAAGCAACCTCTCCTTTGTTTACTGTTAACCCTCTTTGGGGCTTGGACTGTGCTGTTGCCTTACAGATCTAAAAAGAACCTGGCCACCACTGTGGCTTGGGGCATTAGGCAGCAAGCTGCCATCACCCAAAATTCTCATTATTCCATGCATTTACCATTCCTGCACAAGATATATAAGAGAGAGAGTACTGACAAGGCTTTTAACAATAAAAAACTTCTTGTACAGCTTAGGACATTGTCTCCTCAGAACCTTCAAATACAGCAAGGAGTGCAATTCCAATTAAGGGTTCTGGTAAAACACCTCCAGCTTGTCCCAGTGCTGCTGTCCTGCAGGTTTTGCTGCTGTCTTGCAGCTTGAAATTTGTCAACTGACCCTGCTACAGGAGCAGCAGCGATGGAAAGTTGCTGCAGGCATTTTTCCAGTGAATATCCACAAAAACCTTCCCTACAGAAAAGCTGGGCTAAATGAACAATTATGAAATAACAACCACAGGTTTGGAAAATGTCTATTTCGATAAACAGATGCTGGAGATTTGCTTTGGCATTTCAGCCCTTGGTATTCAGAGAATTTTCAAGATGTGTATTGGACTTACGCAGTCCATTGGGTGTTGTTATGATAATGGCATCTAAAAGTTTCTCCTCTCTCCTGAGGCTGTCTTCCAGTCTGAGTGAGGGAGAACACACATTAAGAAAGCTACCTTTTACACAAATTCTTTTTTTAATGAAGTGTATCTCCTGTAGAGTGCAAGATGCTTAATTACTCATTTGTAGAAAATAAATTGACCAGAGAACTCTATTAAATACTTCCCAATATGGTTTATATATACATAGATACATATTGTATTTTTATATATAAATTTTATTCTCTTTGATTCATGAAAAGATTTATTTTTCCAACCAAAGAACAGCAGTTCTGAAATCGTGAAGTTGTCTTTCTGAGTGACACAGCAGAGGCTGAGGGAGCTGCAGACATGCTGAAATGGTTACAGGTTGCTTAATTACAAAAATGTGAAAACCAGTTAGGTCTTTTCTCCATCTCTCTCCCCATTTTCCCTGCTTCTGTACACGTGTAATAAATACATTTACAAACATCCACAAATAATTGCCATGAAGTAACCTTTAATGATATGGACTTAATCAAAATTAACCTTTAGGCATCACTGAAAAACAGCACAGCATAAAATCATTTTCCTGCCTAAACTCATGCATCTTTTTTTTTTTTTAATCAGTAACTTGCAAATTTAGACAGAATATTTGAAGCCTTTGGATTCCAGAAGGGAAACATCACGTTGCAGTTCACAGTCCACCAGTGACCATATACAGTAGTTTCTGTAAAATACAAAATGTCTGACAAAGGAAGAGAATAAGCAAGTAAGCAATGTCTCTTTTTAAAGTTATTTCTAAGGATTTGGTGCACCTTCCATCTCTGCATGATTGTGACAAGCTCTGGGGTTTTTTTTCAGAAATCATTAGTATTGCTCAAAGCCCCAAATTAACACACACTGATGTTGACTTAAAAATACTGTGTATGTACCACTACATAAATACATATGCAAAATAAAGTCCATATCCCATAAAATAGAAAAATGTAGTATAGAGTCTATTGGGCAAGGCATACAGGCATACAGTTTTATAACTACATAAATGTAGTTGATATTATTTACAGATGGAAATGGAGACAAACATTATCATCAAATACATTGATTTTATGATTTTTTTGGAGATTTTCACTTGGAACAAAATGATCTGCAACTCCAGCTACCTGGAAAAGTAAAGTGCTCACAATCCATTTAGTGCAATAATGCTGACTACAAAATTTAAAGAGGAGAAAAAAACAATTAAGAACTAATACCACATTAGCTAGTGGAATCAAACAAAAAGTCAGTTTTGAGTTTAAAAGTTTGAGAAGATACGGAAGAGAAATTAAGATAACAAAGCAGACTAACAAGAAAATAATAATTCTCCAAAGTCAAGTCTAGATTGTCAGAAATTAGAAGTGCCAAATGTAGTTTCTCATGGTATTTTGTCCCAGCTTTATCCTGAACATTCTTGGAGACAGCTGTCCCATAATCAAGGAAATGGCACAGACATTCCTGCACATATGACACCACGTAAGCCCAAACAAAGAAATGAAAGATGAATGTACTCATCAGTCTGACAGCTGACAGTCCTTTATCTCTCAGTGCTTGACTTCATTATTTCAGCAGTATTCCTTTAAGTCAGTACTGAGTAGTATGAAACTTGCTTCTAAAATATAATAATTGGGAGCAGATGATAAAAATGAGGGGTTCTTACAAGTTATGTATTATGTTTTCAGCACTGGATTACAGCAAGCCACAACAACTAAAGATTATACATATTATTTCACCTTGGCATCATAGATCAGAATAAACTTAGGTGAACAGTGAAGTACAACCCATTTAAAAGGAGTGACTCTCCAGAGAAAACCATTCTTCTGGATCTAGGGACCAAATATAATCTCTACAGGGATGCCATGCACAGCACAAGTGAATACCAAAATGCCCACCAGTCTAGGTAAAATTTGTCTGCCTACCCAAATACAGAGGCAGGATGACAGGGGCTTTAGAAAGAGTTTTATTAATGATTTAAAATTAACTCCTGACCTTAACTAGAGCTTGTAAAAATTCTCACACACCACCTTCTAAAATCAGAATAATTAAGAAATCTCTCAGATAATGAAACCCAATGCCCTTTTACTGGTTTCACTGAGATGTGGAAGATGCAGCTCTAATTGACAAGCACTTAGTTACTGATCCCCAGACTTCAGAATGTCCCATGGTATAACTGTATAAACAAGAATGATGTGATGCAGGCTTACATACATTTTTCTTATGAGTAAAGTTCTTCAGAATAACCTTCTGCCCAAGGGAGAAGGATGGGAAAAGACCTTTCTCCCCAAAACTGGGTTATGGACAACTGCTGAATTGGATTATGGACAAATCCTCCTGCTAAGTCATCACAAACGCCTGTAGTCTTAATTAAACTCTAATGAGGAAGGAAATACGCACGTATTGGCAAACATCACCAAGGACCACAGGCAGGACTTCCAGGGTGGGGTGTGGGAGCCAGGCCACAGAGCTTTCAGCCCACAGGGGTGTCTTGTAGCAGCTCTGCTGGTGGGAGCTCTGTGCACCCAGAAGCCCATGGCACTTAGCAGAGGATTTACACCACCCAAGCAAGACCAGCTGCTCTCAGCCTACCCAAAGTTTTGAAAAGCACCCTCCAGAGCCAGGCCTTCCGTGGGCAGAGGCTGTAGGTTGGACCTGCCGCTCCCAAAGGCCTCACAGGAATCACCACTGCCCTTGGCAACCAAGGCTGCTCTGCCTGGCCAGGAGGTGGCACCTTCTGCCCCCGAACTGGCCCGTCACCACTCCCACGGTGGCAGTCTCTGCAGCAGGGCGTGCAGCCCGGCAGCTCACTGCCACTCGAGAGAGTGAGGTTGTCCTGCCCAGGCACCAGACTTTCAGGTCTCCTGCCTCACGCTGGACAATGGCAGTCATCCCCCGGGATGACAGCACCACGAGGCAGCTGCAGGGAACGGCCCCACCACTTCCTGCTGCTGTGGCCCCAGGGGCACAGACAGGCCTCTGCCACCTCAGGGGAAGGACGAGCAGTGCCAGGCGCCACTGACTCACCCCTCACCTTCCCACAGGCAGGGGAAAGCTCAGCAAAGCCAGCACAGACCTTTCTTTCTGTTTGCCAAGCGCAGTGCTGCCGTCCCAGGGGTGCACAGCCCGTCCTGTCGCGGCAGGGAGGCCAAGGGTGACGCAATGAGGCAGCAGAGGCTGTGGCAGCTTCTCCCGTTTATTCGTTCCGCGCACGGGGCAGGAGCGGCCGCTGCTCCTCGGCGGGTGGCAGCTCCTCGGGGGGCAGCAGCTCGTAGGTGACGCAGAGGGAGGAGAAGAGGCAGCCCAGGAAGGACATCAGGCTGGAGAAGTACATGGCACTGCTGGCGCTGCCCACGGCTGCCGTCAGCGGCCCCATGGCCAGGGCCACGAGGATCTGCGCCAGGAAGTACTGGCAGCTCAGCAGCGAGATGTCAACGCCCATCCCACGCCGCGTGCCCTCCGCCTGCGAGCCCACGAACTGCGGGGACACAGCCACAGGGTAAGGGGGTGTCCCGGGGGTCCTGTGCCCTCCCCAGCCCGGGGCTCACCTCTCGGCTCTGGTAGTAGTCGCAGAGCAGGGAGTAGGGCAGCGTGCAGAGCGTGGCGAACAGAATGCCGTAGGTAGCGCACAGGGACAGCAGCACGTAGACATTCCTGGAGAGCGTGGCCAGGCCCGTGCCCAGCCCAAAGGCCAAATATGCCACAAAGTACAGTGTCCGTGTGCTAAAGCGCTCCTCCAGCTTCTCCAGCACGGCTGCAAGAAAATGGTACAGCTTTCGGGGTGAACTGCAGCCCTCCCCACTGCCACCCCTCAGTGCGGCTGAGGGGACACCTGTGGTTAGGCAGCCACATCTCGGTGGCAGCCACTAGACCTCTGAGGAATTGGTGGCTTGCACCTGAGTGCCAAGGACCCCTTCCAGATCTGGCTGCCAAGATGCAGCATTGCTGCCCTATCTGCACAGAGGACATGGCAGAGCTGGAGCCTGGCAGTGCCCCTGTCCCAGAAGGGTAAATGGGAACTGGTGGGGGTGGGAAGGCAGAGGCATGACACACATGACAAAGTGCTGGGGTGGCACATGACACCCGAGTGCTCTGCCTGGGACACACAGGCACTGGGTGGTGCTACACCACAATTGTGCAGCCTATGGTGACTGCACGTATCTCTGCATTCAATGTACACTGAAAATGCCAGCTGTGAAAGGAACCACATCCTAAGGGAGATGTGTTTTCACTGGATTGCTGACCTCACCTGCTGTCAGTGCAGGCCCAGCTAAGTAGCAGAGGGAACAGGGTGAAAAAGAACACTCTGCTACAGCACCTGTGCCATGTGGTAGGCTGCGTGCACCATAAACACTGGCCTACTTGTTGCAGAAACACCACTTCTAAGAAATGTATCTTTTCCCAAAGCAGTAGTTAAGAAGGCTGTACCAAGTACCTGAATAGAAAGCAGCACTGAATGCATAGATGCACATTCCCCAGCAGCCCATGGTGACCCCAGTGTTGTACTTCTGATACTCATCTGAGTTGTGAGGTGCTTTTGGGTTCCCTTGGAACACTACTTCTCCCATGAAGTCAGTATAGAAGAGCAACATCCCCTCAAATGAAAGCCAACCTGAAAGAAGCGAGAAGTAACCTATTAGGATTTCAGAATATCTGTTTCCCCTTGTAAGCTTACATAGATGTTATCAGCTATATTACAAATCACACCCTAGGACAGGTTGTGCAACCTGAGTGTTACATAATATCCAGCCACATTTATCTGAGACCGCTGCTCCCTCTGCATAATGCTGCAATGTTTGTTAAAGACATTCAGGCTCTTAAAGACCAAGATTTACCATTTGAATTCCTAAGTGGAAACCTCTAGGCTGACTAAAGGCCACAAAATACTGGTTTAGCAAGAGAGAAAAATAGATGACAGCAGTCTGAGCTGTCTTCAGGTTCTGACAGGACACAGTGCTCAGTTTAACAGAGTGGCTCATCCCATAGTAATTTCAGGTTGCTGTTATCCTCCCACATAGGACTGGAAAGAGTGCTTCTTATGTCATGGTTGCAGCCTCCAGAGTGCCTCTGACACAGTTAAAAACTGCTCGCAAATTGGCACCAAGGCCATTGATGCAGTCAATCCCTTAATTCCTTTCACAGCCAATGAGTATTAATTACCTGGTCCCTTCTGTCCAACTTTGTGTAAACTGGAATGACTGCAAGCGCTTCCTAAACACCAGTCACACATTGGTTAAGAGTAAAGGTAACACTGAACTGGTTACAGGCACCCCTGCAATGCCTCGCTCCACACCTCCTCTTGGCCTGTTCTGGGACCCCTGTACATGAGCAGTCACAGGGAGGAAAGTAAATGCCTGTCTCAGGGTGTAAGCATGGAAATCCAACTAATCTCATCTTTCTGTTTGGTGTGAACATTCCCCTTAAGACATGCTGATTTAGGCTGTTGTTGTTCCCTTTCTAGGAACACAGGCTTTACTGCTTTGCTGGAGTGTTTTTGGGTTTTTTTTTCCTTTCTAAGTGTTCTAAGAAGGTACCTCATTGGTATCTATACAGAAGAAATCAAGTTGTCCCTAGTTAGCAGCCATTGCAGCAATAGATAAAATACTGAGAAAGGTTCACCCAAGGTAGAGTCCTTCCTGCTGAAGGCAAGAGGGTGCTTTAGGAGTACCTAGGAAGTGGTTGATGCAGAGGTTCCGGAGAGCCTTGGGCATGTGGCAGATGGTAGAGCAAAGCAGCTTCACAGACAGGGGCTGCTCCGAGGTCTCGCTCGATTCATTCAGCTCGCTCTCATACTTCACACCATTCAGCAGGATATTAGCAACCTGCACCATAAGAACTGCCAGGTCAACAGGCACAGTAAAGGAAGCACAAACATCTTTTAAGCAGATGTATGCAATATTGCACACCTATCTGATCATCTGAAAGTTAAACTTTGCTGCTGGAGTTTGTTGACTGGGAGATTAAGAAGTGTATTAGACTGGAACAAGTGACAAATGGCAGCAAGGCACTGTAGCTTTCAGTATGCTTGAACCAGTTCTCTTCCCTTCTCTAGGGTACTTGGTAACCACATTCAGATGCACAGACACAATGGGAATGCATAAATTCCATTGCATTTATAGGAGCTGTACCCACTTTCAGGTGAATGTGAATCCTGAAGTTTTAGAGACACTGAGGAAGAAGAGGATGAGTTGAATTGAAACACATTATCATTGCTTGCTAACCTCAACCCTCAACCTCAGTGTGCTCAGTCTGTAAAATCCTGGCCCTAACAAAGTCTGCTCTCACAAAGTGGGTCAAAGTACAGCAACAACAAACAAAACAAACAAAAAAACACTGCCCCCAAGTAATTAAAATAAAATAAAAAAATCCCCAAACCAAACCAAACCAAACCAAACCAAACCAAACCAAACAAAAAAAATAACAGAGGACCGTTTACCTCATCCCAGATCATAAAAAAATGGGCCAGCATGCAGAGGTCTCAGACATTCCAAGTTATCACCAACAGTGGGAGGTGAGGTCAGAGTCTTATCCCTCAGTAAGGGAAAGCTCACCTCCCTGATGGAGCCAGATGTAATGACTGCCATAAGGAGAAGCTCATGGGAGAATCCTATCCCTGGCCCTATTTTGCAGGTCTTTCTGTGGAAAGGGAAGATACAGGCTCAATAAAAATATGACCTTTTCTCTCATGTGGTAGCTCCCTTGGTAGTGAAGCAGGACTAAAAATACTGACCTAACCCTCACAAGTGGCCCAGTTAAGAGTGGGACATTCCCATTTCTACCATCTTAACAAAGGCAGCTGACAGACTGTCAGCCATAATTCACACTCTACCCACTACTTTACTGGTAGAGTCATAGCAGGTGTGCTGTTCCTATAATGACTTTTATGAGGAAGCTGTCACAAGAGTCTTTAATGAATAATTTGTGCACCACACATTTAAACTCTATGAAGAGATTAATAACACTCATGTTTACATGGTCTTCTCACTGATTTCCTGCTCTTACCTGTTGGCTGAAGGTTACATTTCTTCTTCTGTTATTCTCTGGGCAGTGTCCTGTTACAGCATCTGGAATGGCCAAGGTCTGAGGTCTTTTCAAGATCCCCGATGACCGTGGCTTTATTGCATCCAGTGATCCCACTCTCAGCACATCACTATCAGGCCCTGATGTTAAGCTGCTCTCCCCTTGCTCCAGAATTCCATTTGATCCATGGTAACAGCCATCAGGCACCCGAGGAAAGCTGACACTGACAGGCTGCCTGGACAAACTAGCTGGAAGTGTCATGTAACTATTATGCCCGCCTGTAAAACAGTCTATAAGCACACTGTCAATATTGGAAGTCCCAAAGGATGATGCAAACTCATTAATTCCCGTCAAAGAATTGTCTCTGCTGATAAAACTCCCGTATTTTGGCGTGAGTGGGCTCATGGGGGAAACAGGACTCGTAAAACTTTCATGTAAGTGAGCTGAGTTATGAGAAGCAGAGTTTTCATTTACACTGTCCTCAAAGAAGAAAGGTGGAGAAGGAGGGAGAGGAAGACTTGGACTTTTCATCACCTTTTTCTTCCTGTTAGAGGACTTTAATGGTCTCTCTGGAATGCTAACTAGAGTCAGCACAGTAGCAATAGTCAGTACAACTGAGGTGAAGACATAGATGACACGAAGTTGCCCTCCTACAGCTTTTCCAAAACTGGTTTTATCCCAGTGTATTCCTCCAACAACATAACCAAAGCCACCTCCAAGACCTGGTGGAAAAACAGAGCTAAGATTATCTTCCCTATGCAGTCCCACAAGTCAGTAGCAGCACAGCATCACTTGTCTAATGAATCATGAGAAAAATCTGACATTTCTGTTTTACCATTTGATCCCTTTTCACTTCAAATGCACTAATTAACACAGCTGTTCCACAAGGACAGTCTGGATGTACCAACATGGTACAGAAAGAGGGAGAAAGTGCTGTGAAAGTGATGATACAAACAATTAAAAATTTTATTTTTTCTTTGCCAAGAACAAAACACCTTACCTTTAGCTATTTCAGTCCGTAAACAGAAGTATCCACCAGCCTTGTGACAAGGCTCTGCAATCATTCAGCTAAGACTGTTTTCCTGAAAGTGAAAATCCATTTTCCTCATATGAGGAATGCAGATCTAACTAAGACAGATCCAATCACTTCAGAAGCGTAGCAAGCTCATTACTCAGCATTGTGTTGTCAGTGCACAAAACTGCCTCTGTGTTACTACTGATGAACAGGGAAGTTTTGAGAGCACCTCTCTCTCTCGCCATTCACATGGTGAAAGTCTTACAACATCTCCTTTCTTACTCACAAACACATTTAAGAGTGTGGAATAGTCTCCTACAACAGGGCAGCACAGCAATTGAAGATGACAGCAGTGAGGGATCAAGAGCACCCAGTATGCACTTTCACCTCCAACAGAGCAACTACAAGATACATATTCCACACCTGCAGGAAGCCAAACCTCCTCCCTCAAGGGATTTGTTTCTGTAAGTCTTACAAAATATGTGAGGGACCTTCAGATGAACGATGAACAACCTGAGACTGTATCTTGTCTGAGTTGAGGTAGTCTGCCTCAGTATTTGGTCATTACACTTTATGTTCAGGATATATACATTATATTCAGGAAAAGACCAGCATTTACACTCTGCTTTCTCACAGCAGGGCTTGTTCACTCAGGGTTCACTTCTCCCAGGAAGCACCAAGAAGACAACTCAGGGTTCACTTCTCCCAGGAAGCACCAAGAAGACATACCTGCTAACAAAGCATGGATGTTGAGGCCCCTGTCTTGATCCACTGGGCTGCACACATCCATCATGTAGGCATGACTGGGATTGTCTGCTGAATCTGCACTGAAGTCCATGAGGACAACACCACAGACCGTAAGGATGATACCCCATTTGTGGTTATTCTCAGTGTCAGACAAGGCACTCCCTATATCTTTGCCATTCAGCATAAGTGAGAGCCCAAGCAATGCTCCTAGGAACAAAACCAAAACAAAATCAGTCACTATTTGTAAGCAAGCCTGCAGAGCTCCAGACTCCAGAAGCATTATTTTACCTGCACAACCTTGCAACAAGAACTACTGCTCTTGTTCATATCAATGCAGCCTGGGAAATTAGTGTGGCTTATAGGATACACATAATCCTTTTTCGCTATTCGAGCTTAATAAATGTGTAGAGTTTACTTTGGCCAAAACCATCCACATTCTTGACTCTCAAAACATCCTTTCAGACTCTGAGAAGCTTCTGTGTGTGGAACTCCAGCTGCCAAAGCATCAGTTCATTGTCACTCACCATCTTCTTCAGAGCCACAACACCCAACACCTCAGGAGCACTTTGTTCAGCTTAGTGCCACAAGGGATGTCACAGAAGAGAGATGCACAACGTTTTTAAGTGTTATGCCCATCATTTCTAAAAGACACACCTACTGCTAAAACCAGAATGAAAGGTCTTCTCCTCCCAAATCTTGATGTGCATCTGTCACTCCAGGCTCCCAGCAAAGGCTGTAGCAAAAACCCTAGAAAAAAGAATCACCAATGAAGAGGATTTTTCTACAAGTCTGTCTCACAGAGGAGTTAAAACAGGCATAACTGCCATAAAAGGCAGTTAAGGCAGGACACCACAGTGCAGTGACACCCCCAGTCAGCACTGGTCACCCAGGAGCACACACACTTGCACACTGCCTGGCACTGCCCAGGACAGGGACTGAGTAACACAATGTGCTGCTGCTCACTGCTGGGCACTTCACTCTGCATCTGTAACAGAGTTTGACACCAGGTGAAGAGTCAAAGTTACACATTCTTAAGCACTCTGTTCCTTACAAGCTATTTCATTTATCCCATGTAAGATGTGAGATCCCCTGCAGGATTAGCTTGGAAAACAGCAGGAAGCAAATAAACAAGTAAGAAAAGTGCCTGTAGTTAATTTGTGCCAGCCCATTAGGAGGGGCCTATCTCTTCTTCTGAAGCACATGTTGTGAGTACAAGAACAGTCAGAACAAAATTTTCCAAGTGGCATCCATAGTAATGGATACACTCCCAGCTCTCCTCTGTGCTAAGGCAAATAAATCAACACCTGTATCATCAGTGGTTGATGGTCTTTCATCATAGGAACACCTCATTTGTTTCAGAAAGTTACACAGTAGAAGGCAATCCCACTCTTTTTCACACACCCTTGAAAACTCTCTCTGTATGCTTTTTTTCATGGTGACATAAACGGATACACCAATCTTTTTATGCTTGTTTTGAAATACAGGAACAGAGCAACCAAAGCTTACCCTCACAAAAGTTTTAAGAGAAGCTATTAAAAGAACAGATCTTTTGAGCACATTGGTCTTATTTCAAGGCAGGGCACATAAAGATTTATCCTCCTATTTGTTTGTCTAAAATTATGGTTAGTACGTCTTGACCTTGAGAGAATATACTCATGAACAGCTGAGGTACTGCAAACAAAAAAAAAACCCGTAAGAGAAAAAATAAGAGGGAAGAAATAGCATCAAGAAAAATTACCTAATATAGGGCTGATGAACCACACCATTCCATACAGTTGGTCTGGAAGCCCCATCTGGAGCAGCACAGGTGTGACATAGGCTGTTTCCATGGCATAGCTGAATTCAAGCCCAAAGAGAATGCACCCATTGAAAAGAAGTTCCAAAAAAGACCTCTGAGGCTGGAGATCCCCAAAGTCAACCAGATCAATAGGACACGGAGTATTTGGCGGTGGTGGCGGCGAGGGCCGGATGTGTTTTCTCCTTTTTGGGTGTCTCTTGAAGTTGTTGGCCCGGTGACTTATGTGCCGTGTGGGCAGCCCAGAATAGCCTGGAACTGGTGACCTCCACACCTCCTGAGAAGCCACACCTGACAAGAGTGCAGCATCGCTCACAGGGCTTGGTGCAGATGGTGGAATCATCATGGTCTGGAAGACAAATAGCTCAGAACAAAATGGTTGAGGTAAGAAAAATTTTGTTTAATTTTTTTTACTGAAGTTCAAGTCATTTCTCAACATTTCACATATGAAGTGTGGCCTTTGTGTTTGTTACAACCCCTTCTTTCCATCTCTTGATGGAAGGCATTTGTGTTTTATGGGCACACCTGCACCTTTGCACAAATAAGACACCAGAGATACTGTCTAGGTTACCTAAGTATTTGCCTATCATCACAGGAGATTGAGATTGAAATATTTAAAACAATTAACAGTCACAGATGTCACACTTCCCAGAAGTTCCCAATGGGTCAGCAAAGGGTTTATATTTATGTAGAATTCACTTGAGTTAAACTCACTTGAGCTAAAAAAAATAAATCACAGTCTCAGTCTATGTTTGCAATAATGCAAAGCTGTGGACTGGCAGCAGATTCCAGACCCCTGCTGCAACATGAAATCACTTTGGCAAAAAATCCTTTTGGTACTGATCCTACCACTACTGCTGCCTGTGCTGAGGCCAAGACTTAATGCAACACCTTTTCTCAATAACCACGTTTGGTTTTATTTCTGTTGCCATTCCTGAATTCAGTAGAGATATCCCCACTGCAAGGACAGGGTCTGATCCTTAGGGACTGAATCATGAGAAGAAAATACATACCCCACAAGCCACCCTCAGATCTGCTACTCCTCTTTCAGTGCTTAATGGTACCCAAGTGCTGAATAGGCTCCTTGGATCTCATCAGAATCACTCCTGTAGCCAAAGCGTTCACAGTGTGGTGGGTAAAACAGCCAAATGGTTTCCAAAATAGCACATCAGATAGATGCCAACAGATCTGCTGCATAAACGAACCACATGTGATTTCTTGATTCTTTTTGCCAGAAATGGAAACAGCTCATGAGTGAAGTCTGACTTTTTCTTTATGCCTCCTTGCCCACAGACCAAAGCTGTTCCTATACAAGAACAGCTCCACATCACCCCATCCCTCTTCAGAAAACCCTCACAACTGCACACTCAAGCAACAAGTCTCTTAATTTTTTTCTTAAAGTTCCCCTGGGGAAAAAACTCCCAGCTCTCCTACTCTTTGGCTGTACAGCACTCCCCTAAATCTCGTGTTTTCTGCTTCTTCGTCTGGGGCATTCCATACACTGGTCTTCCTTCCTGTAACCCTTAGTCTAGACAAAGCCACAATTTACTGCATATCCCCAACCACTACCAAAAGCAGAACTCCATAAGGCCATGTTTACCATCACGCTAACCCAAGCATTGTTAAGCATGGTGGATGATGCCTACACAGACCAATCCTCAGCTCTGTGCAGGGATCCAGAGACACTGCACAATGCAAAACTGACTGCCAAACACCTCACAAAGATTGCAGCTGGAGTACCTTTGAGTGCATTTGAGGGCCAAGGAGGATATGGAAGAATGAGAGTGAGAGGACATCTACTGAAATATTGCTAACGTTATATCAAGGGTTTCCTTAAGACTGCTTCTCCTGAGACCAAGGTGTATATCACACAAGAGAAAAGCAATTCATAATCTCAGCTGCACATCTTGACAACCCTCACTTCACACAGCACCAACAACAAGCTGCATCTTGCTGGGTAGGCTCATTAGCCACAAAGTCCCATACAAGGACCAGCAAGAAAGAGAAGAGTATAGAGACTTTCTGAAGGTGTCTGCACTGGTGTTCCCCTTAACATTTTTTCTGCAAATTACTGAAAACTTCTTATGACCTATGTATCTCACAAGCAGAGTACTTACTTTGCAGAGTACCTTTATCAGCCTCGAGGACAAAGTAATTTCCTCACAATGAGAATTTATTAAAAATAAGGAGATACCTGAAAGAAGACATAATGAAAACCCAGTCAGATTCATGCCAGTTCCTTTAACAACCCTTTCACAAAGCCATGACAATGAAGAGAAACTAGCAGCCCCCTTCACTACTATTATACCTTGCCATTTGCACAGATGATGTTATCTCCTTATCTCCATCTATTAATTTCATTCTAGATCCTCATTTATCTTCCTGCTCTTTACTGTGTATTGCAAAGCAATTGCATTCCAAATCAAAAGTGGCAACGTTTCAGTGATATAAGGAAAGAACCCTATGCATGACTCAAAAATACACGTGGTGACCTGCAATTACTTGAAATGAAAGGCCATCATTGACAGCATGCCACTGGTCCAGCAGAAAACCACTGTAAAACTGTGAACTGAGCCTATACCCTTAATCCCCATTTTCCTCAACTTACTGGTTGTTCACAGGAAGACATCTCAAACATGCCCTCGGGTAAATCTACGTGGTGATCAAAACAGCGGCAAGGCAGGAAACCTCTCCCTCAGCGAGGCTGCTAGCCCTCAGTGTCAATAGCTATTTGGGATTTTTGGCACTCGATGTCTGTTATACCAACTGCACATCACAATCCGGAAGGCGATGCTGGCTCTGCCGGCTGCCATCCGCACAAACGTGTGTGCACAGGCAATGTGCTTGGCAGCAAGGGTCACCTGCCCTCACAGCCACGTCGAAAATAAGGCTTTACTTTTCTGGCAGAATCTGGTTCCAATTTTTCTGCGTCGGGTACCGCGGGCTCCAAAATCCCTACGGGGGGAAGGCAGGCCCTGACCCTGGTGCTGACCCGGCCGCCGCCTGCCCATCCTTTGTGCCGGCCGGGCAGGAGCCGCGCCGGTGGC